ATTTTCGCAATAGTATTATAAAATAATATTACGTACTCTCTTTTAATAATATTACTTATTTTATTAATATATATTGAATTATTATAGATATATCTGTTATTTACACAACAAAATAAACATATTTATATGTGTATATCGTTATCTTTGTTGATACAATGATATAAGATAAAAATCATAATTTATTTTAAAACTTTAATAAATAAAAATAAAACATTATTATGAAAATGATTTTTGATTTCTTGTATCAAAAAGATATGTCATTATCATAATAATAATTCTATTCTTCTAAAAAAAGTCATGTATCAACATTGTCAATTGTTAATTTTTTTTGTATTTGTTGTAATCAATTAATATCTAATATTTTTATTAATTATCATCTAGATTTCTATTTCTTCTCATTTTTATTTTTTATCGCTAAAGATAAAATATATATATTAGAGATTCAATAAACCCCAATCGTCATATAGTGGCAGTCTTTTTATAATTCTCGCTCTTAATACCTGGATTTATACCAGTGCTCAATAATTCATCCAAATCTTTTGCCTCAGTCTTACAGCACAGCATAAATGGTAAAACGACGAAGAATATTACCATTCCATAATCAGCTTTGCGCTTCATAGTAGCTTTCCTCCATAGTAGGCGGCGGCGTCTTGCAATTCAATTCCTTCATAGTCATTGACAAAGTGCTAAGATATTCGTTTAATAGAATATTTTCCTTGTTTTCCACAACATCCAAGGAAGGACTTGTATCGAGAAAAAATAATAAATCGAGTGCCAGCGTAAACGCCGAAGTCTTTGGAAGTCTACCTGTAATCAAATGAAACTGATGAATTCTATCGATCAATCTTTCGAATTCTCGGCAAAATATTGGATTGGAAATGAAATCTATTCATTCCGAAAGTGAGACATCATGTTTAGAAATGTTATATTTAGAAATTTCAGCAACAATGTTTATAATTTGTGCGGACGACTTGGACAGAAAATAAATTGAGTATAGCTGAATGCGATTAAACGTCTGAGGTCATTGCATTATTCACACATATCGTGTTTCCAAGTTTCTCCTATTATCATATCGCCTATTTGATCGCTAAATTCGACATTTCGAATAATGCATTTATACTATAATTTTTGTTTTGGAATCTATTTATTTAGTTTGTTTATTTAGTTTACTTTGTTTATTTTTATTTAAATTTGTTATTATTGCACACAACTATAAAAATTATTATAAAATTCAGAAATGTAGATCAATGGAATAAAATAACTGAACTTCGTTACATTTAATTGCATTCATGATAAAATTTTCATTTATCTAAATTGAAAAAGTTTATTTTCAACTTAATATATATGATAATACTTACAAAAATATAATCAATAGGTTTGCCATCATTGTTATATCTGAACAACATATTGTTCACGTGAAAATCACCGTGAGTAATAACTTAAATTCTTCTTGGCAAAGCTTTGTTGCATCTATTCCTATTTGATATATGTGATCGGAGAGTTTAGCTCCGAGTTTTGTCCGAGTATCTAGCAATATAAATAAAATAAATGCAAACGTGTATGTAAAAATTCGCTATGAGCAGCATAATATGTATAATGTTTGTATTTGCCATTTTCTGCTTCAGTTTTTTTATATTAAATATTTATCTTGTACCATAGAAAATATTATCATAAATATTAAAAAATAGAGCAATAAATATTATCGTTTACGCAAACGATCTTACTGTTTTACTTCAGGCCAGTGTGCAATCTCTTCTGCTAAACCTTTAGTACACTTAAGAAAATATCCTTCATTTCTGGTGATTGTTGTTTGCTAAATTGTCCTTTCGAATACATTTCTTTTTGCTTTGGTTCCTAAATATTAAAATATTGTTATTAAAGAACATTTATACATTTGATTATAAATTGTTAAATAATAGTGTGAATTGGAAATGTGGAATGTTATATAGATATAGAAAATATACAAAAAAATTTACACAATAATTTTCATATCATTTTCTAACGAATTTAAAACAAATATTTTTTTAGAGAAAATTTTGAGAGAGAGCCCAGGTATGTTGAAAAGATATTTTAAGATAACCAGTTCTCATATCCGTGTCATAATCTGAATTATTATTAATTGCAATGAGATGTCACGACTGGTTGTAAGTATCGCTTGATGATTTACCTTCTCGCATAGGGCTACGGAGGCTGCATGAAACCTAGCAAGTCCGTGAAATGCCAATACAGAATGATCTAGGTCAAGACTAGACAAACGATCAGCCTTCGAAAGCCTATAGCCGCGAGATCTTCAATCACTAGAAGCATTAGATCTTCATTTTGCGTGTAGAGAATCTTTTCACTTAAGCGATACTTGATTCTAACAATTTATTCATTTTATTCAATGTATTTGACATCATTGACATTTCGGTGAAAAAGACCTGATTCTATGATCTGTAACAAGTTTATTCAAGATTAATAAATGGAATCTTTTAATCTAACAAATATGCAATTATTTCTTATATAAAGGTTTGTATAAGATGTGTGTACTAGAAATTTTCAAATTTTAAATTTGTTTTCAAACTAATAAAAATGTTTTTTTTATATACATGAATATATATTCATTTCCTAAAAATGATTTATAAAAATAATTTAATTTTATTTACTGATTACCCAAGAATAATTATTCTAATCTTCTGTTGAATGAATAGAAATGTACTTGGAAATAAAATTTGCCTCAGTTTTTTCTCTCTGTCTCTTTCTTTTTTCCTCTTTTTTTCTCTCTAATTTATAAAAATTGTACTCACTAAATCAACTTACTAATTTTTGTCGGACACTTCCGAGGTCAGGTAAGATTTTAAGGATAATTGATTTTTTCTCTTTAATTCTATAGCTGTTTTGGTCGCGCGAATATTCGGCAGTAATTCTGATCATGTCGCTAGTATAGTTGTCACCCTTGGTTGTGGCTGGTTTTGAAAATATATTTATCACCTGAATAGAATTATCATCTTCCGATTTTCGCAAA